GTTTGAGAGACTGGGAGTAACTGGGCTCTTAGTTTGTTAGTACTCACTCAGGCCTATAGAAAATAGCGGTATGTTAATCTGCCTTGCTGCCCTTACGTAATTCAAAAGGAGTGAGAGGGGGAAGACAAGGGGAGCACGAGTAGAGATTAAAGGTAGGTGACACTTACATGTGTAAGCAAAGGTGTCCGCTGTGTTGTCCCCTGCGCTCGCTGGGCTTCTCTGTCAGGTGATCGGCCTTCCTCGGCAGGTGTTATGCAAAGTGAGAGGATGTCAGAGGAGGTGCCAGTCCAGCGGCCTGCAGTGTTTGAGGCTCCCTTTGGAGGTTGGTTTATATATTGCGCCTCAAGTGAGAACCCGCCTTTCCAGAGCAGTCATGGGACACTCGCTGCTGCACTCGGGCTAATGTTTATCGAGCTTGTTGATGGGGGAAAAAAAGTAATTATAGTTGTCTGCTGATTATATTGCTTAACCTTATCCCCCAAATTATATTTATCCAAGCGCCGAGGAAAGACAAATGTCTGTTGTGTTGCCGAAATAGCCCATCTTTCAGTCTAATTCAAAAAGAAAAGTAAGTGAAATATTTCTGGTGACAGTTTGTTTATGGTGGTTAAGCTTCTGCTGTTTGGATATAAACAGTGCGGTGTTCCCCGAATATTACCAATTTTCTAAGAACGGGGACATTAAAACTTTAAAATGACTGAGTAAGATATTACAAACGGGGCTTTGGTGCCACCTGCTGGTCGAATTTAGCAAGTTTCACCCACCAAGGTTAAAGAGGCCTCTGGAAACTTTGTGCTGAAGTGTGTAGTTTACTTCCAAATCTCTAGTAACGTCTCTCTTAAAAAAAAAACAAAAATAGAAACAAAAAAGTAGTAAACTCGCTGTAGGAAAGTGTAGACTCTATAGCTCACTAAGCCATAGTGTAACTAATGTGAAGCAGGAGCCACGAACAGTGCTGATCATCAATCGGTTACTCATCCATGAAGAGTTCATTTACTGAGAAACTCCAGGAGAGTGTCAGGCTGTCAGCAGAACACAGTCTTTTTCCGAAATGGTACAGTACCTCCAAATCTGCTGATCAGTTCCTCTTCATCACTTATTTATTCAGTGCTGGTGGGATTTAATTTGTGACATGTTCACACAAGTGCCCGGCTTTGTGGAATATTTTGACCTTCCCAACAAATGCAGGAAGTTCAAATTACCTAAAAAGGATTGTCCGGAAATGGAAGGATGGTGGAAAACTAAGCATATATATGCGCAAGGAAAGACATTCCTAATAATAATTATATACAGTTATGGTCAGAAGTTTACATCCACTCACAATGGGCATGAATTTCATGGACATTTTTGGTCTTAATAATTTCTTTGAACTTTTCTTTTTCCAGCATGGAATGATTGTACAGCATACATCTTTAATGACTTTAAAAAACTAAAATTTGATTTTATTTTGTACAAATATATACATACACTCACTTAACTCTTTTAATAAGTGGTGCTGAAGATATTAGATTGATTGACAGCACTCATTGGATTGACCAATCCTCAGAACAATGGTATAGTCCAAGGAGCTCAGGGTTCTCTGAGGAGAACTGCAGATTTACACAAGTTGGGACGCTCTCTGGGAGTTATTTCGAAACAACTGCTGATTCACAGATCATCGGTTCAAACAACTGAACGGGAGAACAAGTTATTCGGGTGTGTCACCGCTTTGCCAAGGTCAGGAAAAAGCCCCAAACTGTCACCCTCAGGTGAGAGGAAATTGGTTAGAATGTTCAGGAAGCACCAAGGCTCAAGCCCACCATGAATTGGTTTTACATGGACCAACAAATACCAAGAAAGAAGCCACTGCTCCAAAACTGGCATTTTTAAGCTTGACTAAAATCTGCAGCTGTCCACATGGACAAGCCAAATGTCCTCAGGTAAAAAGTTTTATGGTCAGATGAGACAAAGATTGAGCTATCCGTCCACCGTGATGAAAGGCATGTTTGGAGGTGTAAAGGTGAGGCCTTCAAACGTAAGAAAACTGTACCAACTATTTAGTGGTCGTGGCATCATTCTCTGGAGCTGTTTTGCTGCCACTGGTACTGGTACATTGCACAAAGTGGGTGGGATGATGATGAAGAAGGACTACCTCCCAATTGCTCTACTTCTTTGCACACATGCTAGATGGTTGGACACAGATCAACAGGACAATGATCCCAAACACACATCAAAACTGGTTTTCGGCTGGATAAAACAGGCTAAGTTTAAGCTTCTGAAATGGCCTTCCCAAGCCCCGACCTGAAGACTGTGCTTAAAGGCTGGGTCCGTGCCAGGAAACCAGCAGGTTTAAATGAACTCTACCAGTTCTGCCGAGAAGGGTTGTGAAATATCCAGCTAGAATCATGCCAGAAGATTGTTGATGGCTACCACAAGCATCTGCTTGAGGTGCATGTGTGTATATACTGTGTGTGTATATATTCGAGCCTGTATCCATTTGGGCATTTGTAAACTGAACACAGCTGTATATATGTGTGTTTCTAGTATTTTACACTATTATATTTTTCCCACACTAGCCTAAACACATACACACCCCTACAGTCATCACACATTACCAAAAGCAAAAAAAAAATCAGATTGAGAAACACAGCAGCTTTAATCAGCTACAGTCACAGATGAATATCTGTTATCCACCCACAACATAGATGATTCATTTTTTTGTGACTGTTTCTGTGGCTACTTTACATGTAAATGATGCCCATGTGGTGTTCATCCACATTATTCCTTTAATATCAGACGCTCTACATAACAAGAGCATTTGCAAGGTTTTCCAGTCATATTTACTTGTTATAGCCCTTCACTAACACACCACTGATTGTCCCTTTTATGTATTATATTTATAATTTGTTTAATGTTTATTCATTTCTTTTATTCATTACATTTCGATGTTCACAGAGGTTTATTGTCTAAGAAAATATTAAAGATTAGATCGCACATAATGCTCCGTATAAACAGCAATTCCAGAAACTGGGGATGAGCACAGAGCTGCGTTAAAGGGCTTCTTTCTTATCATATTCACTTGCAGCCACGAACGATGCTGCCAGTCAGGGATTGTGAGCGTAAATCCAAATGATCTGTATTTAAACAATTATCCGAGATAACTATCTTTTTTGTCATTTAAGTACATAGCTCGAAGACGAACTCTGAAAAATGAACCGAGCACAAAGCCACAGCGCAGAGACGCAATCTTTCCAGGCAATCATCTTCTCAGGAGATTAGTACTTAGAATTGAAGCTGTTTAGAAAAAGTCTCTCAATTTGTTTACAGAGACCTAACTTTTGACAAACCAGAGAAATTAAGGAACTTTCCCAGAAGGTTAGTCAATCTCCTGTATAGTGAGGCATACTTAATTACTATTGCTACGAGTTAAATGGTGTTTTCTGTCATGTTTGAGGTATTTAGGATTGTAATTACCAGCCCCTGTTGCCTCACACAACAATGTGCATTTTGTTTTGCAGCAGCATGAGAAGCCCTTCTCTTGACATTCTCATGGCAGGTTGATCTATATAATTTATATCTGTGAGCCACTTTCAGCTTAGCTGTGCTGAACTGCAGTGGTTGATATATGAGACATGTTAATATTTTACCCTGGTTAAACAGTGTATGTGTAATCCAGTGTATGACTTTATCTGGTGCAAAAATATTAGCTAATGTGGTCGACTCACAGATTCATTTAGCACTGAATATCACACCCATTTTTCCTTTTAGATAGATTACTTCCTCCTACCGTGTAAAACATTCAATGAAAAGTAAACACACACACTCACTCACGCTACATTGTCAGAGCATATGAGAGCACATGTGAAATGGATTATTAATGAAGAGGGATGTTCAGTCGCCTCCTAGCGGTAAACTGGGTAAAGCATTATCCTCTTCCTTAAGTTTCTTAAGGTCCCCCCATCAAAAGGTTTACCCACAGAGCTCTGCTTTTGCTTATTTGACTCGTCCATAATGCAACGAGACCATTTGTCATTGACAAAGTCGGCCGTATATGGGTAACCCGAGGGCCTCTAGGTGGCATTCCTGTCCGTGTTCAGGTTACACGGGCTGATGAGTGGAAATACCAGTTTGTGTCTTAAGGAGAAAAATGAATAATCAGCAGTTTGGTCACTGTTTGCTGCTGTATGCATGCACCCCCTCCACAGTCTGTTAGGTGCAAACTTCACATCATCGTTTGGTGGATTTCAGGTTTTTGCGCAGATCTTTAAACTAAAGCCACATAAGCGAGTAAAGCCAACGTTTAATACTTAGCTTTAGTTGTTTTAAAGTAGGAGGATTTTCACTTTGCTCTTTCAACTTACCCCTAATTTAAAGCTTTCTCCCCTATATGCTCAGCTTTTCATGACAGTTGGGTTAATCCCCACTTCTTTTCAGCTAGCCCAACACTGTAATTTTTTGTTGTTGTTGTGTTTCCTTTTACATTTAAAATTAGGCAAGATAGGACATGCAAATCAGTAACTGAAGAGTGTGGCTGGTTCTCATGCTCAGGCCTATGTTAGCCCAACCCTTTCTTCCACTCTTCCCTCCCTCCTATCCCTTGCCAAACAGGATCTGTAGGATCTTACACAGTCATTTTCTCAGGAGACAGGAATGTCAAAGCACAAGCTTTGTGCCTGCTGGAACTTGCTCCCTACATTCTGTAGAACCTCCAGGAAAAAGTACAGAATGAGTTACCCGTACATCCATTTAATTTCCACTCCTGTGTGTGGCATCAACCGCTAGTTAAAACGCAGTGCCGGATGTGTTCTAGACACACGTTGACTCACTACTGAAATTAGGTTGTCTGGTATGCCACCCTGCCCTATCTTAACAAGGTGTCCTTGGATTCACGTCCCTTTAGTTTGAAAGGCGATTTGTTTCATTTTACTCATTTTTATTTCAACGTCCCATTTTCTGGAGACATTTGTTGTCCAGACCATTCACACTCAGGGAACAAAAACACGGTTTACGAGATATGAATTTTAGGTTTTTTTAATTGTCTGGTTTGTGTACAGTTTAAAAGCACATTTTACAGCAGATAGGCTAGTCACTTAGACTGTAAAGCACCCAGGGGTATCAGATTATAAATATAATACAGTGTAACTGGCATTCAGAGAAATGACACATTTACAAAAAGAAATGTAAAGGATTTTTTCCCCAATCATCCCACATCACCATCTACATTATCTCAGCTTTTCAAATGCTATCAAGCAAGCGGAGGATAGAAATGTAACAAAATATGTCGATGTCCCAAATAATGCTACATTTGTTTGTGTTGCTGTATTAAGCTTGTAGACGCGGAGATCCAAATTGACAGCACTCCTGCATCTGTAAGCTCGCTCTGTCAACTCCTGCACTGGCATTTGCAGCCAGACAGACAGCAGAGCCGTCTGCAGAGTGGCAGTGAAATGTTAAAAGTCTCAAAGAGTCCAGTTTCCACCAGGATCAGATGCCATTTCTACTTTAATTGACAGACCAGTGGCTGGGCGTTAGCACTGAGCTGCTTGTGGACTCTTTGCGGCACAGATTTGGGCTGTGGCTGTAGGTGGGGGAGTGAGTGACACTTGGACTGCTGGGCGGTGTGGAAGAACAGGAGGAAGACTTGGATTTAATCTGTAGCCACTTGTCTCCCAAAGCCTTGGCAAAGTGGTCGTCGACGGACACGCTGATGGAGAGCTGCTGGGACTGAGCTTTCTGGTAGTGAACACCCAAGCTCCTCTGGAAATGCTCCTCGAGGACGTTATCATAGTTGTCTTTGGGAACCACTGCAATATAGAAGACGAATGGCAAACCTTTACATACACACCTAAGTGAGTCAGTAAAAGTGCGTGGTATGGCTGTGCTATGAGGCACGTGTGATGACTAGGGAGTGACCTTCTGGGTAAATGAGCTCATTCCAAGTGAGTGTGAGACTGACCTGATGAGTGGCCCACGGATCTTGAAGAGGGGTTTCGTAACGAGGAGGCGCAAGTGATCACAGAGGGACGTATCTGGAAAAAAGAAAAAGAAATGGGTCAGTAATTAGACTCAAAGTAATTAGACTTGAAGCACAGGTTGTAACCCTGGTTTTAAGCTTTCGTTTCATTCCACAAACTTTGTGTTTTTGTTCTGACTTTGGCTAAACCTGACTGTGCACTCGCTCTTCAACTGCAACAGTTTAAATTAAAAACAACACGATCTGAAAACCGATTAAACTGGTTGGGTTTGCGCGTGAAAGTCAGCTCCCTCCCAGTGTGGTGGCATAAACAGGTCAGAGAGAAAGCAGTCTGTTTGGTCTTGTTGATGGCATTCCTCCCTCCATTACTCACATTTTCTTCCCGAATCCGGCTGGATTGCATAGCTCAGGCAAGCTTAGGCTTGCAGACACACTTAGACGCAGAATGCTTGTGCAGCTGGATTCACTGACTACAGATAATGGACCCCTGTGGTTGGTGGCCTGAAGCTATGCTGAGGTTATACAGTAGGGTAAACAGTATGACCTCCTAAATACCCTGTGTTCTAGACAGGCTTTGCTGAATTACCTGGATTTGACTGGAAGAGGTGCCTTTATTCTTTTCCTCTGCGCTTTCAGTTTCTTTTCTGGGTTTCTTGATGAGGGCAAGGGGTTCATCCATGACTGGTGTGTAGTACACATGGGTGGGCAGAGGGCTGGTGGGGCTGGGTGTTGGACTCAGGGTTTGTGTTGGACTCTGCTGGCTGCTGAACACTGCTGGGGCTGCTCTCTGGGCCAGCCTGCTTCGGCTCATCGCTCGCTCTCGTCTGAAACAATTATTTGAAAGAGTTTCAGACCCTCGTTGCTGTCTTTTTTTTTTTTTGACAGAATTTGCATTTAATAAGTTGAATCTATCAAAAGAAAATGTTCTTAGGAAAGTTAAACAGCTCAACCAACCTTTCCTCCAAAGTCAGACCTCTCTCGTGGCTGCGCTTGCGTTTGATTGGATACACCGTTTGGGTTCGAGCCCGGTCGTGTGTCATATGTCTGTATCTGTCTTCGCTTCTGAGATGAGGCTGACCTGCAGAGCAAAATTAAAATGCGGGATTAGAAGAAGCATGCAGACTTTCAAAGAAACACGACCCCATCAGGGGTGCCCGCGGTCCCTTTGCCAACGCCGATCCTACGTCAGATCACTGACGGTATATTGTGACGTTTGTGATTGTATCTAACTGGCAATGATGTGAAGCAGTGATGACTAACTACTTGTTTTGATCCATGACATCAACTTGCACGACTGCTTTTCGTGGGAAAGCGTTTTTTTTTTTTGTCACCGTTAATCGTAAACTCCGTTAAGCTGTAGAACTCGATTTACCTGATCAGTGAGGGTTACAACACTTCACAGCTGATTCAATGCTAACGGTAAATGTTGTTTTTCTACATATTGGCATTCAGCCCAGTCACACGCAAGTAAGTTTTTTTTCACCCTGTTTGGATGGAGTGCAAAAACATCAAACTGCTCTCCGTGTCTGAGGACCCCGATTTGGGCGTCAACCATTTGTGAAAAGGCCATCAAGGCGAAACACGTACACATCCTGGATCTTTGCAATTACACAAGTCGAAACACATCGACAGGCAGCTGCTGATGTCAGTGGCTTGTTCAATCAGAGGAGTTTAAAGCATGTCTACAGTGCAGGACAGGCGCACTACATGGGCTGGATGTCTCAGTCTTTTGCAGGTTTATCACCCATCAAATGTCAACCAAAGCCACACAGGGGGGCATTTGGGCAAATCAGCCTGCAGTCACATCCCCAGGCTGATGTGTAATGCATGCAGCCAAAACACAAGCACTGTTTGAAAATGTAATGGCAGCACAATGGCACTGTATGTTCCGTTAACACTTGGAAATCCACACTGACGGGATGGCAGCAGTGCTAAACTGTATTCAAATCAGCCAATGGATGTATTTAAAGAAACAATAGTCTGTGGTGCCACACTGAATTGAGACAGTCTGTTTAAATTGGTTTTGCATTCCTAGAGAAAAACAAAACAGCCTTCACGCCCACACTGCTCACTCCAGTTCACATTTCCTAACATCTAAACTCTCCAATAGCACATGTGAGCTATTCCTTCACACAGTGTGGCTTTGTGGAGGGGGGTAGGTATAACCACACCTATGCTGATTTTCTAATGCCTCGGGCATGGTTATTTCTTCCTTATTAGCAGAGGGAAAATGCTTCCTGACCTTTTGGTTCACTGCATTTAAATCTGATTTTATTGTTACCCAACAGAAACGCATGGTTTAGAAAATCTCAGTTAAAGCCTCAGGTGAGTATTTACAGAGTCTGTATGTAAGATTCAGTGTATTAAATATATTAACCGAAAAAGCCAAACGTGGTTCTAGCAGTACACATACTTGATTGTTTACTTATCGCTGTCATTTGATTGTCACCGTATCTGATTCTTTCTGCCTGACTTCACCTAAATATCACAGACAGACTAAATGCCACTTAATTAACACAGATGTTGTATATAGTTCATATCATATTGAGAAATACATATTAAATACACATACTAATAAGTAAATGATATGGCACAACCACAGCAGAGATTTATTTCCACAGATCCAAGTATCCACTGTCATCAAGAAACATGAGGACATTTTTAAAAAAGCGTAAATCGAGCTTACCTTCTAAAATGTAGACCTTGAAGCCACTGCTCATCCGAGTTATGTATTGGAAGTTAGCCACAGCCATTGCTCCTTATCTTTGTGTTGCTGAGCCCAAATACAGAGGAACACCTTGACTGCTGGACTTTACAGGACACAAAGAGCCTCAGTTATAGACTGTATTGGAAAGGTAATGAGACGCTGGTTCTGAGCGCCGTCAGGTAAAGTATCAGGTGAGTGCGGACAGACCTGTGACTCATTTCCTGCCTTTCCATTGGCTGCTGCCCGGGCCAATGAGAAGCCCCGGTTCACTCATTATTATTATTACTGTACAGTTGGGAATGTGCCTGCAGTTAGGCCCATCGCTAAAGTAGAAAAAAGGCGCTAAATGTCACAGTATACCAGACTTTACTCTGATTAGAGAACTGTTTGCTTTATTCGGCACTTTCGAAAAGTTCCATCCTGAAAAAATAAACCCCCCCCCCCCGGTCATCAATTATTTTTTTTCAGTTCCTTGTAGAGTGTGCCTGCGGGTTTCCCCATACATGGAATCAACACCTGTCCCCCTCCCACCTCCCTCCTAATCTGCAATCTCACCAAACTACATTTTTCCGAGTGCTTAGCCCACCGGAGCTCCAGTCATTCTTCTGGCCTGCCCATACACGCATGCAGCTGTACTCTGAGCCTGCCTCACCAGTAATCCGAGGGCTTTTGTTGATGGCCAGACAAAGACTCCCTAAGTACTGAAAATGTTGCTGCTGCCATGAGAAAAAAAAAATCTTCTGAGAGTGTAATGCGAGTCTGACGACATGTAGAAGGCCTCGGAGGCAGCTCACTTAGATACGTGACAGTTCTAATGAAAAAGGGGGGAAATCATTATTAATGTCATTGTTTTAAGGTGTATCTGTAAAACTTATTGAGAAATACCATTTTGTGCTGTCTGGACTTTGTTGATATACAAGTGGGAGATTTCTACTTGTGAGTTTTACCCTAACAGGTTGGTAAATTTTGTTTAACGTGATAAAAAGCTACTCTTTTATAAGTCCCACTGTTCATACGTGCATGGAAAATATTAGGTTTAATTTAAGCTCAACAGTGCCCCCTTATGTCGTACAAAGCAATAGCACGGTCAACTTGTGGGGGGGAATGCAGTTTAACGTTTTAAAAATGAAATGAATGTGGTTATAAATCTGCAAGTGGCCAGGGAGTTCCAGTTTTGCAACGATTGTCCAGCGGCAATCAAGGCATTTTGGCTTGCTGTACTAACAAAAACGTATTCTACAATTTCAGTACAGCCACAAAGAATCTGGGTTTAGTTTTATACTAAACAGAAATTAAATACTGCTACTAGTTTTGATTCTATAAACACGATAAAGGGCTTCACACTCTTAATCAGCTGATAACATATAGTCACTGGGGTAATGTAATGCTTACACATCAGAAACGGTAATTGCTCAAGAGGATGTTCTAGGAAGTCTTGAGTCACCCCTCAGTTCTTTATATTTTGCTAGGGAAACAAGATTTATTGCTATATGGAAACATACAGTATAAAAACAAAAACATAGTTTATACAATTCTAATAAGCTTAAAAGTCAATATTTGCTATGACCACTTTTATTCTTTAACACAGCCTGAACTCACTTAGGTACGTTTTCTCATCATTTCTTTAAGAAGTCTTCAGGAATAATTCTCCAGACTTCCTGAAATATATTCAAAGCTCTTCTTTGGATGTTTCTGTCTCTTGTTCTAATCTCTGTAGAGATGATCTCACACTCCTTCAATAATGTTGAATTCCAATTCATGACTGATGTGTTTTTCTACTCAGGTATGAATTTACTGTACTGGCAGTGAGCTGGAGATCAGTGTCATGCTGACAAATGAAGCTGCTGCCAATCAGATAATTTCCAGATGGTGGATCCAGATCTCACTTTTCCTTCTTGTTCATATTTTCCCAAATTTTGACAAGATCTTTAACACTTCTGCATTTCAGCAGCTTCAGACCACGACAGAGCCTCCACTGTGTTTTACAAATGGCTGTAGATACTTGCTTTACCTCTCTCCTGACCTCCTCTGAACATGTTGATGATGATTTGAACCAAAACCTAAATTTTCTAATTAAGAGCTGTTGATTTTCAGTCCAGTTCTAGTGTAGTTTTGTGTACCGCAGCCTTCCCCCCCTGTTTCCCTTCCTTAAGAACGGCTTCTTTACAGCCACCCTTAAGCAGAGGCCATTTCTGATGAGGCTTCAGCAAACAGAACGATCACTGAAGTTCCAGATGCATGCCTCAGGACCTCCGCCAGTTCTTTGCTGGATTTTAAAGGAAGACTTCTTAAAGCCATGACCTTTAAATGCCCATCTGCTGCAGATAGTAGTTTAGGCCTTTGACTTCTTTTTATCCCCTGTTTGTTCAGTTTCCATCTGATTTTTTTAAGCACACACAGCATACCATGATCTCTCTTTTGGCATAAACACATTTGCAGAGAAAAACATAAAGGTAGGGCATTCATTAAGTTAGAAAGTAACCTCATCACTTTGCGTAAAAGTTGAAATAATTATTTTCTGTTAGCCTAGCCAAACTTGCAACACTAATCTATATTTTAATTTAGTGAGGAGACTCCACTCCACTGGTGACTGCAAGCAAGAAAACACCCGAGGAAAACACCAATAAATAAATGACGCCGTCAATAACTATCATAAACCTCCTTGTATGATCCATGATAAAGCAGCTGTGTGCGACACACCACAGAGCACAAAGAGCATTCCCCTTTCTGAATAATCGAAAGTGTGTACTGATGGTTACCTGACAGATGCATTGCCTGGGCATGCCTTCATGGTGGGCAGGATAATGACAGAAAAAAGGGGCACAGAAAAAAGAAAGGCAAGCTAGAGAGCGATTGCTTCTCTGGTTTGTGAACTAAAGTAATCGAGCCACTTTCTATGAAATCACACAAATTCTAATGTAATAAAACTAAAATCCATCCACTGAAAAATAAATGTAAACTAATGATACATTAATAGGCAGTTCACTATTCCCAACTCTTAAGATCGGAGCTAAATAGCGGTATTTTTTACTAGCAAGCAATAGGCTATTTATTATCTCTAAAATGCATGAATGATTTAGATAAGAAATGCACCCGGCTCTAGGCCTCTATCCGTGTCTCTGTAGTTTCCGCCATATGGTACAGTTTCCACAGAGCAACCCATGGCTCCCAGGGGGGTGGGCTCCGAGTATCACTAACAGACGGCGCATCCCTCACTGTCTGTATTGACTCAGTTGAAAATCAAAAGTAACACCCTGTTTCAGCAGGCCTGACAACCCAGCAGTGCCGCTGCTGCTTTATTGGAGCCAGCAGGATGCCCGAATGAAATCAACACCCAGAGGTATTGCAGCCAACAGCAGGATCATGTCCAACAGCGAGCGACGCCCCTGCTTCTCCGCTCTCATCAGCACCACCCTGATACCCCCATCATGGAGCTTGTCAAGTTACAAGAATACTGACGAGAACAATGCCGGAAGTTCAACAACGCTAATAAGACTCAACAAAACAACAGCTCGCCACTTATGCGGTTTTAGCTGTGGCTGCTATTTTTACTTCTTTAGTTTAACTATGTCCAAACTCTGACGTCAATAAAAAATCAGCCCTAGATATGCATAGACTTTTCTTTCTTTCTTTCCCCCCAAAGAGACACCGGAAGTGTGGATATCACCCTGCTGCAACTTGACGACCGCGCAGCTCCTCTCTCCCTCAGGATGACTGGGAGTGACGCAGGGCAGACGGAAAAAACTGGGGCTTGATGAGAAGGACGGCGGTGATGCAGGAAGGGCTGTAGCTTTATTTATTTCAGCCTGATGCCTGACTTGCCTGCACGGAGGATATGAGAATCACCCATATGCGAGCTTTTCTGTGACAGACAGGAGGTAATAACGAGGAATCATCAAGTCATCCTTGGGGCAGACCAGTTTGGATACACTCCCAGGTAGGCTTCATCATGCCCGGTTGTGGCTGTTACTACAGGCTGCTGAAGTGCTAGGTGGCTTTCTGGAAACAGGATACATGTTAAAAAATGTCAATAAATTTATATTTTTATTTGCGTCAGTCTTTACACGGAGACTGATAATTGGCTTGCACAATTTGCTAAGGTGAAGTAGGGCTGATTTCTTCTTGCATCTTAGCAAATTCTTTAAGCTACACCGTCACGACTCATCGCCACTGTTATGATCAGATAGTCGAGCTTCTCCTTCTATATTAACACGGGACCTGTTTTCTCTGTAGGTAACATCGGGTCCTGTTCCTGCACATGGGAAAGTAGCCTAGTCATTCATTTCCCCACTGAACACCGAGTTGTAAGTCGCATTCAGTGTATTTGGACCCCTACATCCTCCTCCTTCGTCATTTCAACAAATATCCACCATGAACTACCTGCGACGACGACTCTCGGACAGCAATTTCATGTCCAACCTACCCAATGGCTACATGACCGACCTCCAACGCCCCGATCCGCCGCAGCAGAGCCCCGCAGTGTCGCCCGGGCCGGCAGAGAGGCGCCAGTCCACCAGTCAGCAGCAGCAGCCGCAGCAGCAGCAGCAGCAGCAACAGCAGCAGTCTGGAGGTGGAGGTGGAGGCTTCTTCTCATCCATTTCCAACGCCGTCAAACAGACCACAGCTGCTGCGGCTGCGACCTTATCGGAGGCAGCGGACCGAGCAGGTGTCTCCAGCAGCGCTAAGATCCTCCTGGTCATCGACGACCAGCAGACCGACTGGTAAGAGCAGTGCGCATTGGCAGCGCGCTGCCTCGTCTAGACAGCAAAAGTGTGCCAGACCGTGGGTTGCGGTGGCCTAACTCATAGAAGGTCATATGATTCATCCGGTGTTGAGAGGTATCCTTCCATCACGTGAAACAACCGGTGGGAGGTTTTGTGCGCCGAAACTGTGCCATGGCAAAGGCGCAACAGACCGAAGGCAGAGAAGCCATTTTCATTTGACGATCAGCTTGTTTTTTCTTCTTGTGATCGATTCGTGTCGCATTCTGCTGATAATCTGAAATTACGCAAGTGCACTATGCGTTCATGGCCGCCATGAATATGGAGATTACCCATTTGTCAAATGAAGCGGCTGTAAGTGCAGAAGAAAAACGATTTCAGCAGACAGTCGAGCTTCTTTTCCGCGCGCATTATGCAATAGTGATAACAAACTAAGAAATTTGCTATTATCGAAACAGGATTGACATTCACAATAAACGGAAGCTGACCTGTCCCGATGCAACACCAGTAGTTTTATTTATACATCCATATTTATATATATATATTCTCTAAATTTCAAAATTTGCCAAAATAATGGCAAATATTAAATATAGAAAGGCAAAATTTTAAAATCACATCCATATATCAACTTTTTGATGTAATCATTTAACTTCTTGCTTTAAAATCAGGGTGAAGGTCTTCAGAGGAAGAAAGGTCCATGGGGAATTTGACATCAAGGTCGAACAGGTAAGTTTTGCTTTGTGATGCAGACTTGTAGATTGTCTGGGCCAA